TTTTCATATTCAGTGAGATCACCTTCAGACGTATTTGTTCCTCTCTGTTTTTATGAATGGCACCAAAGTCAGTGTGAGTCTTTAAAGCTGTCCATGCCATGATTGTGAGCCTTATTAGCTTTTTCCCAGAAGGTAACGAGAAACATTCTCGTAAACCACAAAGGTGATGCAGCAGGCAGGAGTGACACGGATCACGTTGGGGATGATGCCTTTGTAGAAACCGATGGCGCCTTCGTTCCTGCAGAGAAATGGAAAACATGACTTAAATTGGACATAACTTAAAGGGACAGTTCACCACTGCAGCCACATTTAGAAACAAGAGGATAGGATTGCATGTTTATCCTCTCTGTGAGTGGATGGGTATCATACCTCCATGTCCGTCTGACGACATCAATAACTCCATTGTATGTGTTGTGCTGGTCTTGCAGGCGGGCTCGCACCACCTGATACGGGTATGTTGTGGCCACAGCAAATATTTTGGATAAAGCCGCCATTGTGATGTACTCCCATGCGCTCTGTTTGAACAGAAGGAGGGAGGAGTGAGCAGAGCAAGGGTGGGAAAAATGATGATTCACTTCTTAACTGCTAGTTATCGACTGTGGGCTCAGTCCTATTAAACTGTAAAGCTTTATGACTATTATCAAACACTGAGCATGTTTCCAGACCGTTTGTGGCTCGTGTGGTTAATGACTCACCAGCTTCGCATCTGAAGGCGCTTTTCTGTATTTGTTGTAGTCTCTCTTCAGCTCTTCGTAGGCCATGAACTGCAGCGCTCCGTGAGATGTTCCGAACAGACCAGGAACATAACCCTTTGACAAATAAATGCTCTGAAAGTCAGTCTTACATTACACTACATTGTACAACAACCTACCTGCTTAATTAAATTACATTTGATCAGATCTATACAGACAAATATCATTGCAATTACCCAGCCAGGCTGATAGAATTCACATAAAGCGTAATATGTCTGGCTGTTATTTCCATTATTCATGGCCTGTAAGTTCTCCACTACAGCTAATACAGGTTGTTGATGCCCTCTAGTGGTGATTAATGAATTCACATAAAAAGGATTTACAGCCTTGTAGGATAAAGGTCAACTTTTGCTGAAGTAGTGTGGTAGTTTAACCTGATTAGTCCTCTATAAAACAGCTTAACATAATCATAGCATATATTGCTGTATTACATTAAAGTGAAAATATATGGTGATGTATTACCTTGTAGAGTCCTGCCACTCCCTCATAGCGGTAGATCTTGATCAGAGCATCTACCATCCCCTTGTACTGTTTACTGCTGGGGTCAGCGTTGTACTGCAGCACCAGCCGGGTCTTGGTCACCCAGATCGGGTTGGTTATGGTGAGGGTTATGATGCCTAGGTGAAAACAGGCAATGTTAGAACGAGGCTGACATTTAAAAAAAAAAGAGAGACTCTGCAGTACCTTCAGTGTTTAGGAATATTGTTCTCACACACGGCCAGCTCTGTCAAACAGTGCTTTTTTCCCTCTCTCTCTGTATATTTCTGCAACTTAAGACAGGATGAAGTGGTTGTCCCTCAGCAAGAGAAGAGACACTTAGTCAAGTAAGATTGATTGTGATGTGCTGGTTGTGGCCAGACAAAACAGTTTAACAGACTGCAGTGACTGAAGTTGGCAGAGCACGGGATGGTAAATGATATGCTCAGTTGTGGTTCCGTGTGGCAAAACATTTATACAAAGACATCAGGAATACAATTTGCCTCTTAAAAAAAGTACAGGCTGGTATAGTGCTATTTTGCTATGATGCAATAGTAGTGCAATTGTAGGTAAAAACTAGAATTACCAACTCACAATTGTATGCCTTCCCCAATCGGTCAAGTTATAGTTTACATTCATTTAGAATTTGCGTGATTAGAGTTGTTCATTTTGGAAAAAAGTTCTGAATATTCTCAGTTTAAGTTGGTCTATTTAGGAGGAAAAAAATGCATTATTTGTTGATATACAAAGTCATAAATCTGCAAATTGATTTGTTGTTTTCTCTTGTATAGGCCCAATTCAGGGCAATGTCTCTTTAAAGACACGGTGCTTATGATATTATCGTGATTCTGGGCGCAAATCACAAGGATGTCCCTGATAAATCTGATTACTAAGTATAATTTGGTTAGGTAATTTACTACAGGCATAAGACACGGCAAGCAGCAGCATGTGTGGTGTGATGAGGTTAACCCTTGGAATTGAAGCAAAGGGGTTTTCTAGACAAAAAAACAACTATTTTGTTCATGTTTCTTTATTATAAATTAGTGAATCAAATCTAAGAGAATATTCAGTTTTTTACTCACCCCTTTTTCATATAATGGCCCTAATAAGCTGTCTGACTCCCATTACAACCCTAAATTCCACCGTTGCACAATTTGAATGCCAAATGGAATCAAGTCAGATATGACTACGGATTGCCTGAGAAATGATTTAACTAAGTCATAATTTTGAGAAAAATTATCATCATTTTGTGATACTTTTTACATTATTGCGATACATTATTTTGAATTATGAAGTCATTATTTAAAAATACTTTGGCATTATTTTTATGTACTAGGTCATTACTTTGAAATATCAAGGCATTATTTCGAGGATGTTTTTTATTGTGAATTACAGGATCTATTTTAACATTGGCTAATATGGGCTTCCCTTAATTCTCTCTAATTATTTTGGAGCAGCTTAATTTCCAGCCCCTGACTCCCCATGTCCAGCAGGAAGCTGACCCATGTGACCCTAAAGTGAACAGAAGGGGCTGTGAACTCTGCCTCCTGTCAGCTAAGGCCAGTTAGGAGCAGTATGATCTGGCTGTTGTTGTTGACTATGTGCTGATAATGTGGGTGTGTTAGCATGGCAGCAGTGTTCAGATCCATGCAGAACTAACCTGCTTCGGCAGCAGACACCAGGTGTTCTGTTGCACTCAGCTCCGTTTGACGGCCCTCCTTCGTGTACCCTTTGATTGCATTGTAGCTGTGAGGGAGATCAACATGGGAAATATGATGGTTACAGATCATTAAAAAACAAATCTAAACAATTATCATGATACAACAGGTTTATGGCTTCCTTACAAAAAGAAGTAGAGACCCCAAGATGCTCCAGCACCCCAAATATTGGGCGTCACTCCTTGGTAGAGTCCTCGTAGTCCCTCCTGCTGCCACACACTCTTCATACAGTGCATTATGCCACTGTACTTAGGTCTCAAATCCAAGCCATCACTCACTACATTGAAAGGACAAAAAAGACCTTCGTAAAAAAAAAACAGATCTGAATTCAACACAAGACCAAAATAATTTATAAAATGAAATAAGGTAACCCATAGCCAGTGGTGAAAAAAAGAAACAAGGTGAATTCATTCAAATACTACTTTTACTTTACTCGAACATTTCCATGTTATGCTACTTGGTCATTCTACTACAATTTGGAAGCAAATATTGTACTTGTACTCACTTAATGTATTTGAAAAGATACGTTACCATTTACTTTGCAGGTTCATATTAATAATACAAAAAAATGTATCGACGACTGAAATATGACACATCATTATAGATTAAGATACCTAGCAAAATTAAAACATCACTAATTATAATCCAGTGATAAAATATATATATACTATTCCAAAAATGAACATTCTGCATTTCAAGATTCAATTCATTTCATTTCATTTCATTTCACACCTTTATTTATCCAGGTTGTATCCCATTGAGATCATTGATCTCTTTTTCAAGGGAGACCTGCTAATTCAAGGCTTTTATTCTCATTTCTACATAGCTACAGTGTAGAATATCAATGAAAATCTTAGGTCACAGGTTCCTCCAACAGTGCAACACAATAAAACAGATAAAATAGTTAAAATAGTGCAAGTAAATACAAATAAAATAGAATAGAATAGAAATAGTGCAAGGAGAGTCTATTGGAATATGATATATTAGATCAATAATTTGTAAATTGCATAATGAGTACTTTAAGTTATGGAACTGTAAGTATATTTTGATGGGAATACTTTTGTACTTTTACTTAAGTTACGTTTCGAATGGCAGATTTGTACTAAGTAAAATATCCTTCCACCACTGCCCATAGCAGCATGGTACCATAGTGAAATCTATTTTAAGATGTCAGATTTCCAAATGGCATGAAAGTGGATAAATGCATATGACTTTAATGACATTATTACTATGGTCAATCACGTATCGCTATATAAAGTACAATGTATTACAGTAGCCTACCTGCAAACCTGATTTTGACCAGGTCCAGAGGGTGAAGCACCATTGTTGACACCACACCTCCACTGAGTCCCGCGACCAGGTTTTCTATCTTCACATGGCCCAAGACCTGCTTGACATGTCCGGCTAAAGAGACAGCAGACACGGGCTTGCTGGACTCTGTCTCCGTGACGTTGGCGGTACCGTGATTTGGAGCGGAACTCATGGTAACTGGTAATTAACTCCTGTCAGCTAGCGAATCAGTCAGTATGGTAATGCTAAAGTCGGATAGCAAACACTTAGAAGAAACCTCATTGACACAGCTACCCTACACACTGTACTAACTCCTTGACACACCCTCATTTTAATTGCATTTTAGCAACGGAACCACGTTTTAAACATGTGGTGATACTCCATGGCTGAGGTAACGCATTACATGTCAAGGAGCACACCAGTGTTACTACTCGACCTTGCTACTAGTATCAAGTAGAAGCAAATTAAGAACAGTGCTTCCGGTCATAACCTTCAAAATAAAACAAGTTTAGACGAACAACATCAATCCAAGTCATTATCTCGGCCCTATTCTCTCATTACACTTCTTTATCAAAGACGGTTTATCAACATATATTTGAATTAACGCTACCCTCCAGTGCCTTGTCACAAAGCAGAACATGTAACTACTAGTTTGAAGACCACATCGTTTTATTGTCGATCTTTCTCTGCTAACTTTTGCAACTTGACTGCCGTTTCTTTAAAGTTGTCAGTGACGCTGCCAGGAGGACTGGACATCCCACAATGCAACACGGCCAAATGAATTTCCTCCTCGACGTCAACACATGGCCAGTAGTTGCTAATATTGTTCTTTTTTTAACCTAAACACAACGGCCTTTTTTAAGAGTGTGTCCGTTTTCAGTCGTCTACAAAATGAAAGTTAAAGTCCTCTCGAGGAACCCGGATGATTATGTCCGCGAGACAAAACTAGATATCCAGCGTGGTAAGTGATAAACGTTAAACTAAACGCAGTATGCTAGTAGTAATGCTAGCCAGAAAACATCAGCCCTTCACATGTTACTGAATTTTGCACATTAAGATATTGCGATAAAAATAAATACTTTTAACGTAAATATCTCTGGAGAGACAACATTTCGTGTTTCAAGCTACGATAAAACCAAAAACAGCAAATATGAGGAATTTCAAATATCTGCGTTGTGTTTAATGTCAGTTACAACATTAGCATCCATTTAAAGTCACTAAAATGACATTGAAAGTAGGTGTATATCATATTTGCAGGTTTAGTTTTTAAACCTATACAACAAAAGCAAATGGCATGTCCATGAATTGCAACTAACTGATGACAATTAAGTGTATTCCAATTAATCAAACTTGTGCATTCTACTGAGTTTATCCCTGAACCTATAGAATTATCTGCATATTCATAACACAGTATCATCCTATATGCAAGTTAATTGTCCTTCCAACTCATTAATGATTCTCTTCTCTCTGTTAGTTCCAAGAAACTATGACCCATCCCTCCATCCGTTTGAGGTGAGCAGAGAGTACACCCGGGCCCTTAATGCCACCAAGCTTGAGAGAGTGTTTGCCAAGCCCTTCCTGGCCTCTCTGGATGGACACAGAGATGGGGTGAACTGCTTGGCCAAGCACACCACCAACCTCTCCACCCTTTTCTCTGGCTCCTGTGATGGGGAGGTAACTATCTGAAAGAGTGCCATTTGTTGAGCCTTTGGAACTGTGAAATTGTACACACAATTCTGTAAATGTGTTTTGATATGATTCATAGGTGAAAGTGTGGAATCTGACCAAACGTGAATGCGTCCGTACTCTGCAAGCACATGAAGGTTTTGTCCGTGGAATGGTCGTACGCTATTGTGGAACGTCTTTCTTTACGGTAAGTGCAGCCCTTCTAGAAATAGTTTTTCAGAATTATTAGTGTTTTGTCAGGTTACCTCTAATACAGCTTCTTTGTTTATACCTGGGCATGGTGACTCTAACAGGTTGGTGACGACAAAACAATCAAGCAATGGAAAATAGAGGCACCAGCTTACGGAGAGGAGGAGGAGCCGCTCAACACTATTCTGGGCAAGGTGAGATCAGCAGGCATTTACAGTAGTGTTATCATCAAAGACAGCTGTGGTTACACAATGTTAATGGAAAACAATACACTAAATTGGGAAGGATCTATCTAGAATTTAAATACATGCAAACATAAACACACCTCCACCTATGTGGCCACACATGTGCATATCCATATACATACACAATCATATATCAACCCATAGTTATTCTAAAATTTGAAGAAATAAAATACATTTTAAATTCAAAGATTTGACCTTACTGTAAGTATACTGTGAAGTGGAATCAGGCCCTATAGTGGATACATAGATGCTTTATTTGAACAATTTCATCAAATATATCAATTTCAGTTATTAGTTTAAATATAATTTTCTAAATTGTGTTTATGTAATCAAGATGATTTCCTTGTTTTTAACTTTCACTTGCAGAAGGCTGTCTGATTTGAGTTACTCTTTATCGCTAGAATACAAACAAATAAAATCACCTTGATTCGGCTGAATTCTGTCCATGAGGGAGAGGTTGTGAATATCACATTAATCAAAGAGGATTTGTATTCCCTTTACAGACAGTCTTCACAGGACTGGACCATCACAGGAAGGAGGGTGTGTTTGCAACATGCGGCCAGCAGGTGGACGTGTGGGACGAGCAGAGGAGCAGCCCGATCCGCTCCTTCACCTGGGGCGTGGACAGCTTCAGCGCCGTCCGCTTCAACCCTGTGGAGGTGAGGCACCATGCATCCACCCCACTCAGTGAAGACCACCTGTCACATCAAAGCCTGCTGAAATCTTTAACCCTTAAACGGGAAGGCACATATGCATATTGCTATTATCTAATATATCTAGGCTAAAATAATACAATTTCATGATATTTTTAAAAGTATGACCCTATTTTCCCGAAATATATTGCCTGTTAAGGGTATATACATTTTATATATTATTGCACCTGTGTTTCAACCATGTTAGACCATTATGACACCCAAAATACACCAATATTACACTTATTACACCCTTTTACACTCAAATGACACCAACTAAACCCATATTTCACTATTATTACATCCATATGACTTATTACATCTGATTAGATTAGAGTATAGGCCTCAAAACAAGTATATCTGTGAGTGTTTATACCTGTTTCATAACCCCATCTCGTCAATGAATACTGAAACCATTGAAGTAAACAATGTCTTAATGTCTTTCCACAGACTGAACTTCTTGCTAGTTGTGCCTCTGACAGAAGTATAGTGCTGTATGACATGAGAGAACCAGCACCTCTTAAAAAGGTAAGGCTTGCTATTTAGTTGCTGCATTTCTATTTCTGATTTATTCACTATATATTCATTGTATAATGTTTGTATCTTTGTGTTTTCTTTTTAAAAAGGTTATTATGACAATGAGGAGCAACACGGTATGCTGGAACCCTATGGAAGCCTATTACTTCACATGTTCAAATGAGGACTACAAGTGAGTGGAGGATGATTGTTACAGTGAAAAGGATCCACATATCTATTGTATTTGTGTTGCTACTTAATGAGGTTTCCTGTTTACAAGCTCAGTTATTTATCGTCAAACAGGAAGAATTCCACATGTACCTAACACATGTAAAGTCCAGCTCTGCACTATTGATAGACTTTCAAAACAGTTGAGCCAGCTAACTAATACATGGTCGACTTATTGTTGTACCGACTTGCTTTCCACCTCAACTCAATTTGCTTTAGAGGTGTAATTCAGTTTCTTTGTCTCTTCAGCCTCTACACATACGACATGAGGTACCTGGACAAGCCGATCACTGTGCACATGGATCATGTCTCTGCAGTGCTGGATCTGGACTATTCCCCAACTGGGAAGGAGTTTGTATCTGCCAGTTTTGACAAAACCATCCGCATCTTCCCTAAGGACGGAGGCCACAGTAGGTTAGTGTGACCCTAAACACCAGTTAAAAATATACACTTGACTTGTCATTGCAATAAATGTTTTCAGAGCATATATAACTTGTCCATAATCAAATACTATTTCTGTACAATAGTATTTATAGTATATACTTAATAGTATAAGTATTTTCTTTCAATACAGGTGATGATATCAGCAGTTTTGTTTAGGTTTAGTTATTTTCACCTATATTTAAAGGTCACCTATCATGCTATTTTTAGGCAATAGCATAGGTCTCAGATATATAAAAATATATAAAAAACATGTCTATGAAGTGTTTTGCTCAAAATACCAAACAGATCACCCATTCTAGCCATGCTTCATATCCCTCTATTTCACTTCCTGTTTCAAAAGTGCTGATTTTGGGTATAAAGCTTAAAAAAAAAAAAAAAGGAGGGGGCTGAGCTCATGCGGGACCCGGCAGCTACTGTCTAAACTAAATACTGCCGCGATGAAACGCCATATCATGGATTATCAAGGATTATTTCTGAAACAGTATGGAGCTCAAAGGCTTTCTCTCTTGCCGGTTATACCACAAGGTGAGTTCCTTTTTATATCCAGCTTCTTCACACACATGCTCTCCAGTACAGGTTAGCTCTGAGTGTTAGCGATGCTAATGTAAACACCGACCATATTACGTCCTAAACAGTCGGGCATTGTTTCTGATAGAAACTTTCTGAGAGTGCCGTGGGTCCACATTTCCGATATTACGTCATATCGGACGCAAATCTGGATCAGCTCCGTGGTACCCAGATTTGGGTATGGAGGAAAAGAGTAAGGGTTTTATTTTCTGACGCTCCGTGAGTTCCCTGACACACCGGGGACACATATTTATGTATAAAACACATCAAAAAGTGCATTTTGCATGATAGGTCCCCTTTAAGTTCAGCACATATTCATCATTTTCCCTACTATGGGAAATCAACATGTCTGCTGTGACCATTCTAAATGGCTAGCAAAGCGGATAACAGTTACTAGTTGGCAAAGCTAATGTGGGGATGCTAACTGTTTTGGCTGACCTTCTCAACAACAAAAACCAAAGCCATTGTTTGGTTGCTATGTGATGTAATAGTACATGCCGTAATGTTTGAACATGTATAAAGCTGCAGTACAAAAAGCCACTGTTGTGTTACAGTCAGCAGGCTCATGTAACCCATGGGCAGGTTGAAACACTAATTAAATAGAGCGGTTTTGTTGTTGAGTGCAATCCGAGTATCGCGGTTAGGGTTATATCATTTGACAACAAACAGACATGATATATGACATATGGTATTTCAGGCAGTATAGAACTTCTAACAGCACACATTGTGACTTCTAATAGTGAAAGCACAGGTGTAACGTTAGTGAAAGTCACTATTAATCATGCATTACATTTAGATTTGCCAGTTGTAAGGCTTCTATTCTGCGTGCTGGCTCACTGAAATGGCTTACTATGACACTTACTGACTGAACCTGAGCCATCGTTATTGTTGTTGGTTCCTCCTGTGCTTTCCATGCTATGGCAAGTCTAAATAACAAACAAAAACTGAAAGATTTGATCCAAATCACACAAAGGAAGAAGTTGTGTGATGGTGTTATAGAGCCACTATGTGCATGGATATGTTAACAAATCTTAATGTTTTCAACAACAAAACCTAACCCTTACCATAGCATTGTTAGACGGTTATTTCTTCTGTCATTTTGTTGTGTTTTTTTAATGGTTTTCCTATAAAAACAACAACTGAATATCAATATAGTCTTGTCAATAGAGGTGTTGGATCAGAAAACGAGTATATGTGGTGTTTAAGAAGGCATAGAAACATTACATATTATGTAATTAAATGAAGTTAAAGTTTATTTTTTTAGTACGGGATAAAAATCCAAAACATTGTTCTTATGTTTATGATGGATTTAATATCAGCAAAGTACTCCTGATCTGTGTGGGATCCTGTGTATTGCAACACTTGATTCTACTGGTTGTTTCTCTAACGGCTAATGAAAGGTATTGTTTTGCCCTAATGGATTTTCTCTTTTCTTTTTTTCTAACTTTAGGGAAGTCTACCACACCAAGCGCATGCAGCATGTCATCTGCATAAAGTGGTCCGCAGACAACAAATACATCCTGAGCGGTTCTGATGAAATGAACATCCGACTGTGGAAAGCCAACGCTGCTGAGAAACTAGGAGTGGTGAGTCCTGCCTGCTTTATCATATATTTTAAGCTTCAATCTATTTAATAATTTAGGCAATTTTCTGATTTGTAGTTGTTCTTTGAGCCAATCAGCAGCTGTATTTTCCTCAGCTGTCAGGCACACTGCACCTCCCTCCACTTTAGCACCTGATCTTGTTTTATGAGTTTGCTGCATTCTTGGAAGCAGCCCTGGCCCCAGGCCCCCCACAGCAGGGTAAGAGAGAGCGACTGTGCCAGGAGCTACGGCCCTACGGTTGCCAAATGCCCTGATGGATGCTGACTTAGGGTAGAATCACTCTCAATAAGTACAATGTACCAATTTGAGAGGCTCTTGTGGCAAGCGGATGTCCAAAAAAAACTCTAAATCTGTGTGGTTGTTTGACCTATCGGAGAAAAGATTCAGTTGAAATACCAGCAAATCCTTCCGTGACTTTTACTACCTGTAAGTACCACATATATACATTTATACAGTAAGCTGTTATAGCAGAAATTATAATGTTTTTTCAATTAAAGATCCAGTGAAATGCTGGGAAGTGCTTCATAGCCCGAAATCCCAGTTAAAGCTGAATAATAAAGATCAATACCATCTCATGTGCCATCTCCAACCGCCATCTATCATTCCTAATCACATGCACTCTTGCTTATTCTCTTAATGCAGCTTCAGAGTGGAGAATTGGCCCGCTTTTGGCACTTGTTTTACTGTCACTGTATAAGAGGAGATTTATCCGCAAGCTTTGCACTTAAAGAGATCAGACAAGGGCTGCTCCTATCAGCAGTTTAAAATCAGCCAATCACTTAAAGCGGGCCACTCTGAACATAATGAAGCATTAACAATCAAGTTATACCGAAAGGGGTCTTTAATTATCCAGAAATGCTGAATGTGTCGGGATCAGGGCTTCTCCAACAGCTGCTGCACATCTCCAGTTCTTCCCTTCATAACTTTGCACTCGGTGGACTCTGGCGGCAGTAAAGTAGACCCTTTATTTTAAGGCAAAACAAGTCGAATCAATCCGCTCCTTTTTGTTTCCAATCGGGTCAAATGTTGGTACTTCCCATGTTTTTAAAATCGCATCACTACACTTTGATTTAAGGTTGAAGTGCCAAATTAATTGTTTTAAAAAAAAATGTGATGGATGAAATTGATGCCGCGTTTGTTTTTTCTACTCCATCAGACAACAATTGTAGATTAATACAAATGTGGTCATATTTTTAGGTTTGTCATTCTACAAAAAAAAGTTTATTTCAGACTTCAGGTTACAGCTCTATTGCAAAAAGAAAGAAAGAAATAAAGTTCAGAAATTCCCGTGTACACACGAGCCACACAGGCACAGCAGCCTTCATGTTCCACAGTGTTGAGCCACAGTACTGCTGTGTGGTCACCCATGTCCAAACCCAATACAGTCAATGTACAGACTCAACAGGAGGAGGGGGAAAAAACATCCGTATGGCACACCAATGACACTACACACGTTAAACAAGAGAAACTAGACTTGAAGCCTAAAAAGACACTTGTGTGCGAGCGAAACTGGAGCCGTTACACAGCCTGTGTAGTCAGCTGTATTGATTTTAAAATAGAAGAGTATCAGTTCCTCAGACCCGTGTGAGTGAGGCAAGTGGAATGCGGCACATATTGAGTCAAGTGCAGTAGCCAAAAGCGGCATGGAACAGTTCGACTTTGTAGGGCAGTTGCAGTACGTACTTAAAAGTACTGTAGGAAAGTAGCTATTTTTTTTGTTTGTAATTCAGGCTTTATTTGTTCCCTTTAAACATTTTCAACAGATTATCTTAAAGTGGTCCTTTGAGGCTTTGTGGTTTTCCCTCTCCTGTTATATAGATTTTTGTGCATGTAAATCCATTGGACTCCTTTGCTTACTTCTGTGACAAAATGTCTAATGAAATCACTGTTACACTAGCGCTTCTATTGGCTAGTGCTCCAACGCATTGTAGGCTAAGCGACAGGACTTCTCGAAGCTGTTGACCATTTTCATTTTTTCATTTATTTGAAGAGGGACAGTGCACATTGATGAACATTTAAAACAAATAATGCTTTAAAAACGTAAACATGCCGGATTTGAGCTTTGAGCTAGTTTCCATCCGTAGTCCCTCACATACAACATTTAAGAACATGACATTTATATACATAGCAAAATAAATACATGATATGCAGAAAGAGCATGAGCAGCATATAAGCATTTACCACATGGCAGCACAATGTAGCAGCTACGACATATAAAGTGCAGGAGAAGATAAAAGGGCTACATCAAGTGCAAGAGGAGATAAAAGGGCTACATCAAGTGCAAGAGGAGATAAAAGGGCTACATCAAGTGCAAGAGGAGATGCCCCTGTATTGAAGTGCATCTAGCGGTGATTGCACGTTTGTTTGTTTCTCAACCATTCTTTTAGTTGACCTTTAAAACTGTTCAAAGTGGGACAATCCCGTATCTCAGTTGGGAAGCTATTCCACAAAGAGCTGCCCTTAATTGATAGAACATTTTGACAGAAAGTGGTCCGTCTACGGTGGACCTCACAGTCTCCTCTGGTTTCTGACCTAGTGCAGCGTCCAGTGTGTTTTCTGTGGATGAATTCCCCTAAGGGAGGGGGGGGGCAGTCCATGTAAACATTTATAAATAAAACACATACTTTTAAAAGACTTAAAATTGTCAAAACTCAAGAAATGGTGTTTCTCAAGGATGGTACAGTGGTGGACCAATCACAACAGAGCTTGTCTGCTAACCAATCAGAGCAGACTGGGCTCTGGTTTCAGACAGAGGGTGAAAAGAGGTGCTGCAGGAACAGAAAACAAACACAAACTGATGAACCAAACTGTCTATGGTAAACATCAGACACAGTTTTAAAGACTGACTTCCTGGTTCCCCTTTGAATTACTAACATGTTTTTAGTATTTATTTTTATTTTGCAAGAAGGTACTATTACTAACATTATGAGCATAAATAAGATAATATGGCAAAACTGTTTCTTCTCACTCAAATGACCTGTACAACCATGACTGCTTGTTTGTTTTACCTCGTCAGACTTTTCAGTAAGACATCAGCAATTCATTTGGTGAATGCAGTGTTATCATAGCTGATAGAATGCCTCATCTCTGCCACTGTCTAGAAGAACAATGTTATCATCATGGTCTGACGTCTGCTTACAAAATCATTGACATAGTGGTATATCCTCTCAATTTATCCCATTGTTTGTTGCTGCATTTTTCATCCAAACCCGATCTGCAATTAGGACATGTTTCTTTGTAATTTTTGGAATTTATTTGTAATTTCTTTTAAAGTATCTCTGCAGTGGACATTGTACTTTTACGGTTCTTTTATCCCGTCTTACAGCATCAGTTAGGCATCAGTTACTACTTGCACTTAGCTGTAGTCAAGTCTTTCTAATAGCTGTCTCTACGGTGCACTCACTCTTCCTCAGCACCATGTGCATTGTGCTAGTTGCAAGAGCACCCGGAGAAGTAATGCCTCTGTTTTTTGTACTTATGGAATCCCATGTTTCTGCAACTGTCTTTGCAAAGATATATACAAATCATATGAGCCCCTATCTGACCAAACTCCATGTGAAGCATCATCTTCTGCTCTCTCATATCCATCATGTTGAGACCATACAAACTGTTCAGCAAGCTCACCATGTGTGTATCCAGGGGAATGAGTTTAGTACGACAGGATCAGCATCTCGCAGCTCTTCTCCAGCAAATTGAATCTGAGACAAATCACTGCTTTTAATTAGAATAAAAGCCTTCGAGGAGGGCAGCCTGAGCCAAGAGGAGTCCGAGTAGACGGCGGAGAGGGAGGGATGTTGTTGAGCTGGTGTCTTCACTTTTTAACAGACATTGATTATATTATGAATGAGCACAACGTCGAGCTGAAGTTACTGCTTACTGTACTGGCCAAGATTTTATGATGTAAGATGGCTTACTGTAACCGTCGGTAATTAACAACCTGAGCTGAATGCTAACTGCATATCGTGATCAGCGCTCCCTCCACGCTACTACGGTCTACTGGAAATACTCATATCTGGAACCAGGGCAAAAACATTAGATACTTACACTTTCTTATTTTAAAACAAGACCTATTTTTTGTTTTTTTGTAAAGGCGACTTGTGGCCTTGTGAATTACGATTGTTGTCTCTCAGATGCAACATTTTGGGAGATAAGCTTATTTGCGATCTTGCCAAGAACTTGATGAAAACACTGACTACAGTCTGGGCTATAAATTGAACCTCACTACCAGACTGACTGCAGCCTCTAGCCATCTGCAGCTCTGTTTTAAATGTTGCTTCCTATTTCTCCTTAGAATAATGCTGCATTATTCTCTTTTTGTAAACATGCTTTTCTCTCTTTTTGTTATTTAAATGAATGTTATTGGGATGTGTTTCCCACCAACAGCCATGTTGTGTTCATTTAGTATTAACCTCAACAGTGGCCTAAACTTAACCAAGTAGTTGACAAAATAGTTTTTCCACAAGGCCCATTTGAGCTTTGGTTCAACTGCTTCCAAGGTCAATGACACAATTCTGTTACGTTATGAGAACTTGCTCGAAAATTGTTAACGAGAAAGTTTTCTACCTTAAAAGTTTACTTTGATGGTCACCTAAAATAATATTTGGTCCACGTCAATATTTTGTACCTGCTTCAACAAAGAATGAATATAATCTTTAAATTCTCCTCTGGTCTTGTTCTGTCTCTCAATCCACTCTCTCCCCCCCTCTACACTTTCTCTTATTATAAAATTGCACCTGACCAACCCTCCTCCCTTTTGTCATGCAGCTCGCCCCCAGAGAGAGGCAGGCCGCCAACTACAGCCAGAAGCTGAAGGAGAAGTACCAGCACCACCCTCAGATCAAACGTATCGCCAACCACCGACACCTCCCCAAGATCATCTACCACCAGACCAGGGAGCAGCGGGTCATGAAGGAGGCTCGCCGCAAGAAGTACGTGTTCATTATTTTCCCTTTTGACTTTTGGAGAAGAAATGAAGCTAGCTAATTTATCTAGAGGAATGGCCCCCTGTGTGTCCATGTGGAGGTGAATTGGGCTGCTGCCAGGCTGGATGTGACCTATGCAGTCACAGCAGCCTAATGGAAAACCTCAGTGAAGGGACTGTCCCTATGACATGCTCTCAATAGCTTCTACATACTCATTTACAGCTTGTATGGTGGATTGATTGTCCCAGTTTGCCCGGCCGCACAGTGATTCATCGCTCGGTCTGCGGCTTTTTTTCCCTAATTACTTCTTTTTGTGACACGTCACACTTGTGTTTGCACCGTGAATGATTTACTGCTCATGCATTATTTTCAGGGTACATTAGTGTAGCCAATGACGTAGGTGTTAGGTCAACAGTCTTATATTTAGTCAATTCTGTTTGCTCATCTCTCCCTCCATCCTCTTACTGAGATTGTTCACCAGCAGAATGAGTTTTTCACGGCTTTTACTCCTTTTGTTTTCCAGGGAGAGGAACGTCCGGAAGCACAGCAGGCCAGGAACTGTTCCTGTGGTGTCGGAGAAGGAGAAGCATGTTGTGACTGTGGTCAAATAAGCAGAGAAGAAGACAAAGGTGACCCCCAAGAGATGAGGTGGAGACCAAGATCACACACAGGACATGTTCCGACTGCTTTCACTCTGAGAACTTTTTCATTTGTCAGTTGTGGGACCAGTTCTGCATCATTTGGAGTACACACAGACTGTTAATACATGCAAACATCAAAGTCATTTCAAAGGATTTCCTTTACACACAGTTCTGTTTTCTCTTCCGTTTGAGTGGCTAACCCCACATTTTGTTTTGAGCAGGTTTGCATTTTCTATTACAGGATCCACAACCATGAAAATAAAGACTATTTTAGATTGATCCGGTGTCTAAAGAATGTCACATGACTCACCACAAGGACCAAACGAAATGTGTTGCTTGTGGTATTGTTATATCTTTGTTCCATCAGTAAAGACATTTTATTATTAAAACTACTAAAGATGCCCTAAATGATGCGGTATGCTTCAAATGATTCCTTTTGACAATTTCTGAAGTCAAAAGTGTTGTGTTACATTTAAGCACACATTCCCTCAAATATATTTTTGATGTATTTTGTTGTTTCAACGTGATAGATTGAACAACTGAGGCTGATGTTATAAACATTGGGACAATCTCTCCATGATCCAGCATCTCGCAGTATTCCAAACCCCCCCCCTCCTTACTTTCTACTACACACATGGTCCATCAGACTGTCATAGGTGTTTCCAGTCATTTCAATCAGACTGGAGGAAGTCATAGAGAGGCGAAGTCCCTCCCTTTCCGGGGGAGCTCCATGGGACCTTATTTCTGAAAAAGTATGTATTGAAGTCAATTTAGAAGATAATTTTGCAAGTAAAAAAAAAAAACTGTGTCGTAAAACTGTGAAGTAACACTTTTGTTTGTGTGAAACCGCTCGATGAACTACATCTCCCGTCTCGCACCACACACCAAGTCGGCCGTCACGTTGGCACATTTAACTTCTTTCTTTCAGAATGAGGCGAAAAGTATTAAAAGAGGTGAAAATCACTACAAGTCTGGGCATGTTGAGAGCTGTACATACACACAACAGACAAACTGACTTTTTTGACATGGAAATGATTTTTTAAGATTGACAAACATCATATGTGTAATTCGTGGCACAATTCAAACGAGATCGAAAGATACGTTTTCTCTCCCCATTGACTTCAATACATAATTTTTCTGAAATAAGGTCCCATGGGTCGGAAGTAGATGGGCGGGACTTCGCCTCTCTATTGGACAGCGGACATGCCTGTTTAGCCGTTTTTACTATGCCAGTGCGCAGCTAGCTTGACATGCTATTTAATTGAAAAAGGGTTTTCAACAGGCTGTTATTGTTTTTGAGCCCTAGCTTTGATCTATTTTAAAATATTTAAAAATTGTCTGTTAGACGATCCAACACACTTTTGGAAAGCATAGTTCACTTAATCTATATGGAGCTAACTGTTTTTGCTTAAATGTATTCAAAATAAACTTCAAACTAAGTTTATACTCTGCAAAGAGCATGACGTTTAGAAATTGTGATCTAAATGATAGTAAATTCAAACAACAAATTCCTTTCCCTCGTGTTCGACAAGGGCTCTAATTTACTTCGAGACCTAATGAGGCAGAGGCGACATCCACTTAATGTTGTCCTTAAATCCTATTACCACTGCAGTCTGAGAGAGGGCTTGTCTTTGGGAACGGGTCAGGGATCAAGAGGCACTTCTGGGGTCAGAGCTGATAAATCTGATAGTGTGCTGGGTTAAAATTTGTTTGAAGCAGTAAAATGTGAAACCTGAAGATTTCAGCTTTAGAGAAATTTATGTTTGCTTGATTTTCATGAATGGATTATCAACCTCTTATTTTCATGATTCAGTGATGCATCTATGAAATGTCAGGAAATGGAAATGAAAAGTCATCCAGAGTCCATGGACTAAATGGCCTGTTTCTTTGAAACCTAAGATACTGTATTTTATTTTAAAATCAGACACTATTCTCATGAAACACTTTCTGTCTACTTCGGCCTATTAGAATTTCCTTTGCAGAATTGTTCTCTAGGCTTGCCCAATCACAATCCTGAAGACTCAATACTAGATACTATATTTAGTCTTTTCCTTTTTTCTATATATTTCATTTTATTTTAGGAGATAACAGCAGTCCCATGTGACCAAATACTAAATATAGTATCACAGGAAAATGACTATTTCAGATACTAGAAAGGGCCCGATCAAGTATTTGGTAAATTATCTCATATCAAATATATGCACATACATGAAGTTTATCTATTATAAACAGTATAAAAGACGTGTTTCGTAATTTTACAAACATCCTGATTTGATTAATGATAATACTGTATTCGTGTGAAAAACGTTTATTGTTCAAAGCTTGTCAACACCAAATTTCAAAACTTATCGAAACAAATATTGTGAAATTATTTGTTATTATAAATATACTCTTTTGAGAGCAACTAAGAGCTGGCTGAAGTCCATACATCTTTTTACATTTTTTTTTTTGTTTACAATTGTTTAAGAAATATCCACTGACAGGGCTTGTGTAATTGTTTGTTCTTCCATTTATCATCACAGCCTTTCTCCCATCAGCTGGCATCAAAGCCTAAAAAGCGGCCTGATGGGAAGCGCTGCCACACCTGCAGTAACAGTCATTGTCACTAGTCATGTTCTGTATTTATCTCCCCTCTCACGGTGCTCATGATCCGGTTATGAAATATGCATCATGCTCTTCCTGGCACCGCTCCTCCAGTCCGTGTTTTCGCTGCTGCTATCCGCCTGCTGTCAATGAACATCCAGCTTCCTCTCGGCTTTATTCCTCTACGTGTTCCCATCGCTCCGCCTCCTCTTCCTATCTGGATTTTTTCCTCCTCTCTCTCTCTCACCTCCTCTCAATCTCTCTCTAATCTCTCTCTCTCATTGCATCCATTTTTGTGCATTTAAGAAATCTCCAAGAATTACCAACCTGGAGGAAAGAGCTAACCAGAGTGACAGAGGAGGGTTAAGGACTCAAAACAAAGAAGGACCGGGACCGGGCATCTTTTATTCCACCATGCGAGTGAAACCTCTCTAAAGGATGGCAGCGATGGGTTAGACAGGATTTAACATGACTGCAAAATAAAAGGCAAGAGTTGGCTTTTTAAACCTCTGTATTCTTCTACTTTTTGTATCCCTGGATGGAGGCTTGTGTTTGGAATACCTGAAGGTTGTAGTTCACAGCCTGTGCACTCTTGCTTCTTTTAAGGGCATCTTATTCTAACCCTATGTCAGAAATGTCCATGTGTAAATGTTCTACATCTTGCTGTTTGCATTCGGCTGCAGGGTGTTTCATAACCCCGTTATAGGCATTTCATAGATGAGGATAAAGCCTGTTATTGATATTTTGATGCTTATTTCTGCAGCAATGTGCATGATAGGCTACTCCTAACCGAGATGTCATGCCGCCTGTGAACCTCCAGCAAACCCCACCACCAATCTGATATTTGACGGCATGGTAACACAAATACCGACCGGAATGCTGCTGGTTGACAGTGCTTTTCTCGTTTTTATTGTAGCCAGCTGTGTGTAAAAGATGTCTGCTCCACACGGGCCCCGGGGCGGCCCTGGCCCTGCTGCCGCTGCCGCTGCTGCCGCTGCCGCCGCTGCTGCTGCTGCCTCAGCGGCCGGCGACATGCCGGAGATGCCGGACCTGAGCCACCTCACCGAGGATGAGAGGAAGATCATCCTCGGTGTCATGGACCGACAGAAGAAGGAGGATGCGAAGGAACAGACGATGTTAAAGTAAGGAGAAAGCGGATATAGTTGGAGCTGTTGCTGTTGCTGTTTGTGGGTTATTACACTCATACACTGTGAGATACTGGTGGCTCTTGACATCTTAAATAGTCGTTTACTAGCCGGTAGCACCAAGGTGACATCCATCTTTCCTTCGCCTGGTTATCACCTCTCGCCTCCCCCCGTTTGAAAACACTTTATCTCAATGTGTGTGTATCGTTTTATAATGCGGCATACACTCATACCGCTTTCCCCCCACTTTGTTGTAGCTATAGCTGTACTATAAGGGGCTGGGTTAGCAAGCAACGGGCGCCATTTTCACGTAAAAAGCACGCCAAATTGCTTAACCTTTCCCCACGAGCGTCACCGAGATTACACAATATGACACTGGAAAGATCATTTAAGGTGTCCTTTGTGGCAATGGCGAACGCGGGGTGTGTGTGTGATTTCAAACGTTAGAGTCTCGGTAGATGCTGTCACCCCCCCCTCCCCACCACCATCCCATCAACCCCCCCACACCCCCCCCTCTCTTGTGTACAGATGTCGCTCGGAGCTGTTTCAGCACCACGGCGCTGTCCACTGTAGGGTTTTACTTCTTAAGGTGGACCGGACTGTTACCGCCATCATCGCTTTAACCTTTGCCGCGTGAGCCATAATTCTGCTTTATGGTGGAGAATTACACTCTATCGTCTTGCCCTGGCAATGAAAAACACACTTGGTTGTTAATTAAAATATTGGTCTGGCACTCTTAGGAAAGCCTGGCTAGTGAAGAGAGGAGGATTTAAAGAGGGTTGCCTTAAATATTCCCATCCTGTTGATTTTCATGTAGTTTGCCTTCTTCAATGAAAATGATGCACATGTGGATTTTGACTAGTGCTTTTGAATGTAGCATAAGGGAGCAGCTGATGAGTAAATCAATCCACATTTCTGCTAGAGATCTCTGGCAGGTCTTTTCTGTTGCTGCAGCCTCCACCAGCATGGCTAGTGACATCAGTGTGAAAGATGTGTGCCACTATCACTGGGAGCCTTTTAGAGGCATTAGAGATGTTGTTTCCAGCATCAGGTAAACATTTGCACTAAGGCAGCAGCATTCCTAATGGAGTGAAAATTGTGCAATCCCTACCTAGTGCTGCTGCATGATAAACATGACTCATGTACTCCAAGACATGGCTACCTCAGCCGCTGCGGTGCGTGCTGTGTGAATCATGCAGGCCCTTTCCGCCTTCCTTCCTCTTTCACTAGTCTCTCCCCCCTCCCCAATAGCTGAGTGTTTTTCCTATTTCTCTTTCTCTGAGGTAAAGAGGATTGTCAGTTTTAGTCATTCTTAGTCTGACAGTGATGTCAAAGCCTTGTCATCACTAAGCATGGGCAGAAGAGGACGTTGTTGTTTTTTTGTGAGGGACATGACTGACTGACTGTCTCACCATAATGTTAGGTAACTCTGATTGCAGGCCACAAAGTTACATTTATACAAGAAAGGTCAATAGCTAGCATGCTAATTTCCTTAACATTGTGTGTTATAGCTTTTTCTGTCATGCATGTCTTCGTAACTTCTGAGTTTATCTTGCTAGTTGGGTTCAACTGCAGCCGGCAAAAGACGTAGAGTTAATATCTAGGGCTGTCTGCCTCCATTTTGTTGTGTTTCAGGGATTTTGATTTGTAAAAAACGAGCAGGACCTCTTAATAGTTATGTTGTCTTTCACCATTTCATTCAGCATTTACTTTGTTGTGTCTATATGAACAAGGTGACTCATCATTACAGTAAACCCCTCGCTTCTTTACCTATGAATCACACCAGCATAACACATTCTAAAGCAGCTTTAATATGCTCAGGCCTGGCATAGGTACGACTGCAGTGGATTAACTTGTCATTGGATTGGTTTGTAGCATTTTACAGCAGTGTCAGAAACAAACACCCACTCTGCATCATGCGAGCCTATAGTCTGTGTGCATCTGCCGCAGTCACGGCCTAAACGCAACGCGGTTCGGATGGCGTTTGGGGGAAAAGTGGCAGTTCTAACATCGAAGTGTGTAATCTAACAGAGGGAATCCTGGGAGGATGGAGGGATGGAGAAGAGAGAGAGAAGCCTCCAGCTGCAGAGCTTGCCAACTTGCTGTCATCTCACTAGAAGTGCTACAGAGAGCGTGGATGGAAATCCATTGCTGCTGACTTGCATATAATTAGCTACTCACTGTTAGCCTGCTCTTTCTTAGTAGGCCTTTGAATGTCTGCAAGTAGAAAATGGGCTGCACCAATGAGAATCGATTCCTTAAAAGTCCATAAGACGGCACTTTACATATCTATAGGTCATTCTCAGAATTCTGGAGCCTAGAAGGCTGCAGGGATAGAAGTATATTATTTAGTATACTTTTACATACAAAACATACACATGAATTAAGCAGGTGCATTTGTTCCATTGAACTGAATATGCTATACCTAAAGCTAGCTTTCCATGCACCACTGAGTCTCTGAGCAGTACAGCAATAATGGCTATGGGACCCCCACCCCCACCCACCCAGGCACTGTGTATCCCACAGGCAGGCATCAGCTGCCTGTGATGATGATGGGGTGACCCACACAACGCCCGGGGCTCCACTTCTCCTTTCTCCCCTGCTCCTACAGTCCTCTTGGGCTGCTTCCTGGTTCTGCTTGGTGGCTAAGAAAGGGGGGGGGAGGGCTTTCTCTTTCACAACTTTACCCTCTGATGCTTTCTCATTGGTCCTATTTATCTTGCTACATATGGTGCTACCTATATTATGAATCAGTAACACACACAATGTCTCGCCACACACAAGTGTCATAACCAGTTAAGATTGTTACCAGGGCTCCCTCTATCAAAACAATATCTACACACAGAGTTTGGTGATATTGTGAAGTACTGTTGATTAATGGGAGTTGTTGTCTCCACCACCATTAGCATCATTGCTGTTAGCTTTGCACATTTTAGTTTCTTTCAGTGTACATATTTCAGCACTGTTAATACATGGAATGTTTTTATCTGGTGTAATCCAGCGCTGTTAGTCAGAACAGAATATATGGGAGCTTCGAGCTAACTGCTAACTAAACTTATCTTGTTTCTGTGATCACAAAATATCCAGAAGTCCAGAAGGTATTTTTCTACCAGGTCTCCTCATCTCAAATACATGGACCTAGTGATTCAATCTGGTAAAACACTGAATAAAGAAGTATGATGTTGAATTCAGTGTTTGTGGTGGACACAGTTTGGATTGGCTACAAGCTAAAGGCTAACGTTAACTCACATTGTTTCTCTGATAACTGAGGATCCAGACCTCTGAATACAAACATTATTCATCCAGGGTCGTGGCAGACAACTACAATGCTGACGGCATTTTAAGGACTGACTGTTATTTAAAAGTGAAACAATTGTTAGAAATATTTGGGTTAATGTTTGTACACAACTCAACAAAACATAGGGCCAATCCTTTTGAGACATTTTAAGTGTGGATGTTGCATACCTTTGAAGTGTTTACTGATGACTTATTTAGCTGTCTCTCTACTTTAAACAACACCTAGCTTGTGTCCCAGTAAATATCCCAGTTCCTTCTCTATCTTGTGACATCATTTATCTTCATGAATTTGACTGTGATACTTGCTAAGGGACCTCCTTTGACAGTGCTAATTATACTGGCTGCCCTGTAGGAGGGACTCCCAGTGAGAGGTGTCTGCTGCTCTGCCATCTATTTGGGTACCTCCTTTGTTATAGCAAAAGAGGAAGGAAGCCCTGTTCTGTTCCCTGTTGCTGAAACATCATGTGTATCAGGAGGTTTGAGGAGAACAGAAATCCAAATCTTTTTTTGTCACAGGGGATATTAAGGAAATGTTTTAATGATTTCCACACTATTTTCAATGAACACTTTTGTTGTATTCTCTTTTAAACAGTATGACTGTATCAAAATGATGATGTCGTTAATAGAGGGAGATACCAAGCTAACTTGATTAAATATTAACAAAATGAGTTGACTACATGTCATGATATGTATTGATTTTAAAATATATTCTTCCTAGTTGTAATGCTTTGTTGGGGTTTCCCCTTCCCTGTAGTGTGTTATATAGGTTTTTGTGCATATAAATGGTCTGATAAGGCTAAAATCCCTGTGTTGCCTCCAGAGGGAATATCTCTCCCAACCCCCCCCCCCTAACATTTGAACATTAGAGCATGAAGACATGTCACAGTAAAGACACAAAATACAATTATGAACCTGCAAATGAGCATGATATGACCTCCTTAAGTACATTTCAACACTTGTGGTTTCAATGTAATTTCAGTCATATTGCCCAGCCCTATTTTAGATAATACCTTCTTACTATCTACACTGTTACATTACCTACACTGTCATCCCTATTTATACTATTTCTCTTATCAAATCAGACAAGACATTCATTATTTAATTTGAATATTTTATGATAAATGGAAGTATAGAGAATTGTTTACATAAGTAATAAGGAGGTTACAATCTACAATCTAGTTCTCTCCCTAATGATTTAAAGAACAATCCTACCTCTGGTTAGTAAGCTATGTTGAAAGGTGTTGGGGGGTTGGTGTGTGTATTAAACATGAAGAGCATTGACCTAGAATTGATCTTTGATTGATCACATCCCATTTCCTTTTTCAGTTAGCCCCCCTCCCACCCCCGGCACACATGCACAATTCATCCCCCAGTCCTGGTCATTTATCTGATAGTGCCTGAGAGCTCAGTGTACCAGCTGGGGTCAGAGTAGAGAGGCCCTGTGTTCCTGGAGGCTGTAGGATCTCAGCCCTTCTGAGAGAAGAGCAGTGGTGGCGTGCACACATGTTATAGGGACCTAAGCATTCAAATGTCATTGTTTTGTGTCCTTACCAAGTGGAAGATTTGATCAGAGGCTGAGAAAGTCCTTAACCTAACAACCCAAAGAAAACATGCTACTGTGTCAGTTCTGCAAACAAGAGGCAGAGCAACACTTCCTGATTTGCAGCATGTGTAAAGAGTGGAGAAGCAAATCATGTGCT